CAAAATGAGGGGGGGAGGATAATGTACGTTCAGATAATCGGGTTTTAGTTATAATTGAAATTACAATGTTCCGGTGCATCAGCGCATTCGAAGCGCGCTGAATTTCAGAACGCTATAGCAGCTTGACCATACGATCCATTTTAGAACATGTTTTATCATTTCGATGGCAATACGTATCCACAGCGTTGCAATACCGAAATAGCAATAACATCCATAGAGAGCGCGAATTTCCTATGTTATCTTTACAACGAAAAATGAGCCGTCGGCATAGCATTGTTCCACCACCATTGCAGGGTAAAAAAAAATCCGAAAATATTTTGTCTGAACAACATTTCTTCCGAAAAATATTTTAAACGAAAATTTTTTTATTGGACATGTATTTTAGTAGAACTCTATTTTGCCGACATAAATTTCAGCCAGCAGTATTTTAGCAAAAAATATTTCGGTCGACAATATTACATTATTATTCCCTAATGGCTAATGCTGCATAATTATGAGGGGTAAGGGCTCAAAAGTTAAAGGACTAAAAAAGATAATTTTTAGCACTTTAATTGTATGCAATAAAAACGTCAAAAAATGAACTAAAAATTGAGAAATATAAAAAATAAAACACATTTTTTATCATAATATTTATATGCATAATAGTATAATTTTATAATATATTATACGGTAAATATAAGGTAATCACTGCTCAGGAGTATGGTACCGTATAGGACAGGTACTACCTATACGTATACTCCGCACCTATATTCCTATACTAAAATAATAAGCCACTACAATATACGAGCATTTCCGATAAATTTATAATAATTAAAATTCTATAATATCAGACATTATGGATGAACAGATATAAAATAATTCAAAAAAAGGTTAGTAAGTGGGTGTCGCTCTGTTGTGCGGTAGGTTACAAGTGGATCACTGTAATGGATGGTGTTAAATTTGAATTCAATGATATAATATCATTGTATAATTAAAACGATTCTGGGCGAAGACGGTCAGTCGGCCTATGATATACTGATATTTGATATTACCAAGTATATGTATTGATGATCTTATTGTGAATGAAATAATTTTTATATTATTATAACCTCTTTACGTGGAACCTTGTTTTACATTTTCAATCCTTAGCTATAAAAGTTGAACATTTATATACATTTAATGATTAACAAAATATATTATACATCATTAAACCTAGCACAACGCAAAACGTAATTTAAAGAATATCATTAAACGAAAAATATCGGAAAACGTATTTTATATAATTTCATTGAACGAAAAATAACACAAAACAAAATAATTTAAAATCCATTTATTTAAAAGTTATATTGGTTTCGTAGAAATATTTATTTCATGCAAACGGACATAAGAATTGATTATATTGATTATATTATACTCCGTATCCGGGTTATTACCTGCCCTCATTACTCATTAGTTATTATTAATAAGTTTAATATGTATTAACACTATTATAAATAACGATAAACGCAAAATTTGCATAACGCTGTAATTCTAAATAACATAAAAAGAATTTTTTTTTCAAATGCAAGCCCTGATTATATGCTTTGTAAATTCAAGAATCTTCGCAAAAGGGTACAACCATAGGTAGGTAACCATTATATTTCTTCATGTTATATTATCAATGTTGAATGAAGCACTATTGTCAGATTTGTTCCTGGATGTTAATTTTTCAAATACAAGACTTATGAGTTAATTATGTACAAACCCAACCTGTTATATTATAGTATATTACAGCTACAGTATTTGCTGTCTCAATATTCATAAATCATAATGATGTACCTAGTTAATATTACTAAGAAAATCTTCATAATTGTTTTAAAAATCAAAACCACTAATCTATGTATTATGTAATAATAATTGTACTATTTATTTATTTATTTGTTAAAGTATATTTTTTTTAATTATTTCGAACAGACCGACCTTAACAAGTGCTGAGGATCGTGTATAAAAAATATATTTTCATGGTCTATGGTCACTCCAAACAATTTTATTTTATCTAATATGAATATATTACGTACGATGTATGATGTACGTAAATATTATTATTTATTATTTTCGTCGTTATTTAAAAACTGCGGGAATTATCATCATATGTTAAGGAGTAAAATTAGGCAATTTTAATTGCAATCTCGGTAGGAATTGTTAAGACCGGTTGCCAAGTTTTACAGTCTGTAGCGTCTCGTATTGTCGTATAATATAGTATTTGTAAAAAGTTTCTCAAAACAGGTCAGGTTACTGGTTAAGTCTAACTGTCAGACCAATGTAATTTAGAGGGACATTGTAATTATCAGTGGCGTATTTTGAAATTTTTTCTGGGGGGGGTCTAAATATTAGGTACCTTTTTTTTTTTTTTCAGTTTTGAACCGGCGGCGCCGCGGGAAGTGCTTTCGCATTACTGCCGCGAAAAAATATTAGGTACCTACAAGTTTATAATATAAAAAAAAAACACATACGAGTTACGATGTAATAATTATATTATATTATATTTTTTTCTGGGGGGGGGGTCCAGACCCGGGACCCCCCCCCGTAAATACGCCACTGTATACGCCACTGGTAATTATGGCCATAAAAATAATAAAATTAATTGGCTTAAGGCCTGAAGGGATCGAACTGATCGAAGTACATGTATTTTTCATAAGTTTTAGACCAATAAGCGGTGGTAAATTAAACGTAGGTAGGTACTTCAGAATGTCCGATTTTAATTTTTGATATAAGTATGAATTTCTTAGATAAAATATCTAGGATTTTTAGATAGTTGATTAATTTTTGATTATAAAGATCAATAATATTAATAATATTTAATAACAATCGTTTCGTTAATATTATTTACTATTTTTAGTCGTAGCCCGATAAGCAGTGTGATCCATCGTTCTGTGTAGGAGCTGTGACCACAATATTATTCACCGCTAAAGAAATAATTATTATAAACACTCATAAACGTTTGATATCAGTGATGTAATAAATAAATAATCTTTGTTCCAAAAATGATTTCATTTCGTAATACGAAAAAAGACACAAGGCGGGCAAAAATAGTCCCGCGCAAAACAGTTTTCGCTATGTTGTACACATTTGTAAGACGGAGACGACACTTCATGTGGGTGTGACGTCCTCTAAATTATTGTTTTTCGAGGTGACTATACTGACTAGGTAAACGGAAAAAAAGTCCGGGGAAAAAAAGTCCGGGAAAAAAAGTCCGAGGAAAAAAAGTCCGGGAAAAAAAGTCCGAATAAACGGAAAAAAAGTCCGAGAAAAAATTATTTAAATATAAATTAATTATTAAATTAAAATAAAATTAGTTCCTAGAAAAATATTAAACAAAAATATTTTATTAAGCTTATTTTTTTTCAAATAATATGTTTTAATCGCTCTGTATGTCTACTATATGGAGACAGGTTTACTTTACACAATGATATTTCAGTTAGGGTCCAGGGGTATTTCCGTATAAAACTAACGAGTAACATTACTACAACTTATCTAGAATATACCTACCTAAGATATAATATTATATCACTAGTATAGTCAACTGTGTTCCCTAGGTCATAGCAGTGTTAACAGTAATAGTGTAGTACATAATTTTATAATAATCATCATAATGGATAGTGTAAAATTAATAAAAAATGGAAAAAAAATTGTCTGTGGTGGATTTACATATACAATCCAGCATAAACTAAAAAAAAGTATAAGATGGAAATGTTCCCTGCAGAAGTCTTTGAAAAAATGTCCTGCAGGTGTATTAATTACCGATAAAATTACCGCTAATCGATAAAATGAGACAGGAAATAAGTGTTGATATCGCAAAAATAGAATTAAATAATATCGGGCTAACATCTAAAAGGAAAGAAAATACTTTGGAACACCGTCTTCAAATATTATGTCAACGATCTGCAGATAACGAACCAGTCGAACTGATATTACAAAATATATCACACTGCTTACGAAAAAGGAGTAGAGAGTAGTAACGATAATGGCCTAGTTATAAATTTAAAATAATGATAAATAATAAAATATGTTTTTGTTAATTTTTCTCAAACAATGTAATTACATTTATACAATTATTTCAATTTTTTAATATAATAATTTAATATATAAGTATTTTTAAAATTATGATGATAATTAATGCATAATTAATAATTATGTATACTAATTTAATAAATAATATTATTTTTAAATAATTTTTTCTGGGACTTTTTTTCCGTTTATTCGGACTTTTTTTCCTCGGACTTTTTTTCCCCGGACTTTTTTTCCTAATATCTTCGAAGTAAAAACCGTGCTATTTTCAAAAGCCCATTATAACATTATACTATTATAATGTAAAGATAGTTCGCATCGACGCTCTACATCTTTACTTTTTAATATTAAAATAAACGTCTCCGTTCGAATTGTTTTCAACAAACCACCCGACTTGATATGCACTTAAATACACTGGTGGCTGCTAGTTTTCATACTCCAGATTTCGATTACCTACTCCCCAAATCTATTTGTAGGAGCAAAGAAAACACCGCGTTCGTGCTTTCATAAAACAAAACATAAATTTTGGTTCGAGCGGTGGTAGGTACCTAGGTACTAGAAAAAACCCGGGACTCCGACCACGACAATGATAATAAATCAATATATAATAATAACGTAATACGATATTATTATAATCATAGAAATTGACCAAGTCCGTACCGAAATAGGCCGGCAATAGGCGTGATAAAGTAAACTTTACTCGGCCGTGGGAATTTCACTGTAAAAAACTGTTAGGTTAGATATTAGTGTCAGTTGACAGTTGTATGGACGGTTGACACATCACTCACGTGATTTGGTCGTTTTACCATTTCGGCCCACCATTATCTCCGGACTGTCGTTTTCGATTTTTTATTCTCATTACTTGTGTATGGGTTTTGCCCGTGTCATGTGTATTGCATAGCTTTGAATCTCCGACTACTACTGTGTCTACTGGCCGTTGTACCTGTACGTTAGTACTATTATTCGAAGGAAGTATGGCTCCCAAGAACTTACACAATTTGAAAAAGCGAAAGCGATCAGCTCCGCCTGCGAGCCGCGAAGACGAAAATTATAACGATGGTAAGCATTGTGTGTGCCTCTTTGTGTAGACTGTAACAGACTTTACCCAAGTCGTGTGTAGGTAGGTAGGTAGTCTATATTATTAGCCAAGTGCCCAATTCAAAGTCCAAGTGGCTTGTAGTTGAGGAGGTAGGTGTTTTGAATCTAGTTTACAGCCACGTTTTCCCATCCGTAAGATTTTAGTATAGCGGTTAGGTTAGGTGTGCAGATAGTTCTCATCCATTCTTTGGAGCATGTGGAGCTTTATGGCTTTAAATTCCAGTAATATTATCTTAGGAGGAAGCTTGTGTATCATTTTCAAGCCTTCGATATAAAAGTAAAAAATGTTATACATCTTGATATTGCTAACGGATTTAAAAGTATGAATAATAATATGTAATAAGATACGGTAGGTACTTGGACGATCTGAAAAAAGTTTATAATTACTATTGAGTTACCAACATAAATAATTTGTAAAAATGATACAATTATAATAAATACTACATCTAATAGGTATTACATAATTATAGTTCTTAATGTTATAAAATAATTTTTAAAGGTTATTATTCTTAGTATTACTCTGAAACTACTCATTTGATTTAGATACATCAGCATTTTCAAGAGAATAATCCACTAAATAATTTGCAGTGAAATAGGTAGAGGTCTCATTTGAAAAATAGAAGTTTGTATCGCCACAGGACATTCTTTAAATAATACAAAAATTATCTGAAATTTGAAAATATATTCTTTAGGTATACTTAAAAATGGAAAAATCAGAATAAATGTACTATTAAAGGAAAATGGGAGTTAGCATGCTTGAATAATCACCCTGTACCTACCTATAGTTAAAAATGTAATTATTATAATTTATTTTTTCATTAGAGGAACAAATCAGAGTGGGATCTAATTACCAGGCTGCCATCCCAGAGCTTTTGTCACGCCCAGGTACGTCCCGTCATGAACATTGTTATTTTTATATAATGTCTATCAACATTGTTATGATTATTTAATGTCATGATTTTATTACTTACAGAAAACAAACATAAACAGCGTCCAAAATCACTTAAACTTTGGTTTCCACCTAAAAAAATCTCAGAAATCCAATGTACTAAAATCTCATTTTTTAATTTTAAAAACATATATTTATAATTTATTTCTTACAGTAAATGATTACATATTGCTTTCAAAAAATAAATATCATTATGACACTGAACAGTGTTTGGGCTTGCTGTACTGGAATAAATACAACTTGGAAAAGTCTATTCGTGATCTATCAAATTTTTCACCCCATCCAAACTGGTCGATTCTAGATAAGTCTAATTTTGATTTTGCCTTTAACAAGTTTGGGAAGGATTTTGTACAGATTAATAAAATGGTAATTAAAATACAATTTAATTTAATTATTTAAGACTCACATTTTACTAAATTATTTTTCAGCTTCCTGATAAATCATTAAAATCAATAATATGTTATTATTATTTGTGGAAGAAAAAGAAAACTAAGGGGTTGAGTATTAAACCAGTTAATAAATTAGAACATGTGTATGCAAACAGGATTCAGAATGGACATAGTGATAAATCTAGTTCAGCAAAATCTGAGCCTGATAACATGGTAAATAAAGGATACTATCCACTACATTAATTACATAGTAAAAGTTATATTCATTTTATATTTGTAAACTGTTTCAACTCTGTCAGTAGCTTTTTTGAGCAGAAAAATGTTAACATGTTTTTGAAATATTGCTTGTCTGTTTATTTTTCCAACTTGGTTGATATCGACTTGCAGTCATTAAAAATACCGTTTATGATTTACCTAACAACTGTTACTTTTCCCCTCACTATGTTCTTCTAAAACTAGCTGCTCTTTAAAATGTATCATCTCTAGGTCCTGGTGGAGTGACTTTTTTTTCTCTCCAAGGACATATTATCTACTATCCTTTATTCATTTATGGTTTATTTATCAAATATCCCTTGATCAAAAAATTGGTTGTTTGGGACCCCTAGACTGCTGAATGCTGACACTTGCAAACAACTCGCAATGCGCAGAGTCCTAAGTTTGTAAAATATACTTTTAAGTTTTAATATTGACTGTGTACCTCATGAGTATACCCTTGTCCTCCGCCCTATCCGAACATCGTTGATATCATACATTTTTTTTTTTAAGAACTCCTCTCGCGCTCTGATGACTATAAATATAAAGGTTCCAATTCGAAACACAAGAAATTATTCTTGTTATATTATTCCTCATAGATTAACTAATTATTTGAAAGTCGAACCTCTCACCTGCATGATAAGAATTGCCAATGAAACTCTGTCATTCTTCTTTTGGATTCTTCTTTAATGCAATATATAATATATATACTTATAATTTTTGTTATTTACTCAATACTATGCCTCTGTTTATATTGGGCTCACGTCCTTAATTATTATAAATAAGATAAAAAAAAATATTAAATCAGGATACAGAATGAAAATAATTATTAATTGATTTTTGTTGAAATATATTATGTTATTAACATAATGTTAATACATAGATACTTGGTATTAGTTGACTCTTCATACATATATGATAAAAGTTCGAAGAATTGTTTGCTATTAAAAGTTGACACATCATAACCTTAGATTTTGGTCAAGTGATATTTTTGAAAACATTTTGACTTATAAAAATTAAAATTGTTGATTATTAATTATTACTTTTAAAATATGATTGATATTTTTAAACTACACAATAATAATTTAATTGTTCTTAAATAATCTATAAAACTTATGTAGGTATTAGACCAATACTATAATCTCTACTATGTCCAGACAATTTCCATTTTAATTTTGTTCGATAGCCTTTCACCACTACAAGACAAGTATGTTAATACTGATCTTATGTTAACGATGATAATGATGATCTTCAATCTATTTCATCTGGATCAAATTGTCAAGGAGAAACTATTTTATCAGCAATGCGGGATGAGGTTGTATCATTAAAATTAATAATTAAAACTATGTGATGAATAACTTTTTTTGTTATTTCTAATGACAGATACATTCCGTCAACCAAACTATTGGACATGTACATAAGAAGATTAAACTAGATGATATTGTATATTAAAACAGTGCACCCACTACGAGTTTCATTTTTCCTCGTTGGAACAATGGTGGAATTTTTCATGATATACAAGATAAAATTAAGGGGATGTTTACCATTTTAACAGCTAAATTCTCAAGAATCATTACATAACCACAAGGAAGTACATATAATGTTACAGTGGCTTAATGTTTTACTGTTTTATTGTTTTATTGTTTTAAAACTTTTTATTATTTTTTATTATTTTAATTGCTATTCAACTATTAATTATTATATAAATAAAGGTACTTTTATGATTTATATTAAATTAAAAATATTGAATAATGGATTGCGCTCATTATCTTTGTTGATGTGTAACCAGTATTTCTTAAACCATTTTCTTATAAGTCTAATATTGCCGTGCACAGTTCACAATCTACATGCTGCAGTATTAGGTGTAATGTTAAACAGTTAAGTTTTTTTTTTTTTAGATATAAATTTATTAACTTAAAAATCTAAACGTAATAATTTTAGATTTGAGTATAGTCATCGATTTATTCAATTATTTAATTATTTTAATAAACATTATTATTATTAAAATAACCTCTTATCTTAACACATTGAGCTCTACTAGAATTTTTTTATCAAAGCATAACCCGTGTCGCCACGCCAAAAATACGTCTGGTCGACTATTTCAGGGAAAGTAAAAACAAATTATATTGATAGTTTTTTGAGACAGTACCTGATCGCCTATATTATACTTCAAAATATTAACTCATCGTCAGTCAAAATTATGAATTTTCAAAGTGAACACATAATTGTCGACACCGGCAACATGAGCAATGTTTATGATGTCGACTACATATTAACCGTGGCGTTGAATGTACTAAAAATAATTCTTAGATTTTAGTGGTCTTTGATATAAATAAAAAGTTGCTGACCCAGTAGCACAACTATACCTAATATTGGGGAGGCCACTCAATACATTTTCCTAAAAGATGACCCAATTGAGCTTTGCCCCCACATTTTTTTTATATTGTTTTTAGTGCAATAATTAACCATGCGTGGAAGTGAGTGGAGATCATTGAAGGATTTTCATCAGGTTACAGTCCTTTCTAGTTTTCTGATTATATACTAAGATATCATTACCATATTACAAATCTATATCCATGTATTGATTGAAATTAACAAATTATCAACTCAAATAGTTAATAAAAATGAAATTTAAAAAAATATGCTTTTGTAATTTTTTAATTTTATTTGTCAATTCAAATTAGATTAAGAATTTAATTTTTTAGCAATCTTCTTTCTCATTAAATCTGTTTTTGTTGGTTTTTGTTTCTAAAACATACAGAAAAAAATTGAATTAATATTACATAATTTAAAATTGAGTAGTTATTCTTAAAAAAAAAATCAATTATATATATGTGTATATTTTACACCACATAATGGGAACTTGATATACCTATTGATTTTAACAATTTAGTATTATGTCTGTACATATACTGTATTCAGGATAAAAGTACAACATGTGGAAAAATAAACATGCTGTGACATCAGCACATCCTCAGTACTATTTACTAGAAGTCCTCGTTAGAGGTCCGGTAATGACAAAATTTGGTTGAGCATGAGCAAACTGGTAACATTTTATTCTGAATAGAGTAAAGTATGTATCAAAAATATTTAAATAGGCACGGGTCACGAGTGTTGAATTTAAGAATAAATAGATGAATTAAAAAAATATATCAAGAGCTTAATATATATTATATAATATATTAATATTATCCTTTGTAAATTCACAATAATGTAAACATATACCTAGAGGGCTAATGATAATCAACCAAATTGTCTATACCAAAAGCCAGTACTTGAATTCAGAAATCTACTTGTCAAAATATCAATCACTAGTAATGTATTTAATAAATCATGCTGAGCTGGTAAGTGATTCTTACCATATGATTTATGATTTGAATTTCATAAATCTGCACCCCAAAAGTAAATGACACCATTTCATAAAACAGTAATTTTACAGGAGATAGGTCTTAATGGTGTTCTAGACCTCTAAAAATGTGGACATGGTTGTATTTTCCATAGTCTTATTTCCGTTACAAATGATAACTGGACATAGTAGACCTTTACAAAGAGCAAAACATGTAGAACAAGGACTTGGAGCTAACTCAATTTCGTAAAAAAATTTACATGGTGTCCTTTACCTCCGGGGTACAGAATGAGAAATAAATTATTACCTTTTTATTCATTTTCGGTTTCATTATTTCTCCTTGGAAGTTTTGACCACTTTTACCCATAGGTTTGGTTCTTTTAAATGGTAACGGTCTTTTGTCGAACACCTTTTTTGTATTTTTATTGGTTTCAATTCTTTTAATGCGAATTTCTCTATTTTGAACCTTTTTCCCTTTTATTTGCATAGCTAATTCAACAGATTCTTTAGTCTGTAATACAAAATATATTAGTTAAATATAACAAATCAATTTGAATAAATTTAAAATATTTAGTTATTTATTTATTGAATTCAGAGTAAAAAGTTGTTGAGTTTTAATTAAATGTATTTTTTGTTAGTGCAGTACGAGTCAGATAAATTGGCATAGCGGAGCGAATAAGTAAACCGGGCGTTCTCCGTATTTGGTTAATGTTACAAAGTATTCAAACAAACAAAACCTAATTGTTACAGAATATTTTTAAAACTGATATTAAATTATTAATTTAAAAGAAAATATTCTGTTTGACTTTGTTTTATAATAAGTACAGATTTTATTAATTAATATACAAAAAATTTATATTAAGCCCGGGGCGTCTCAGCCAAAACACACAACGCAACTAGTTAGCCCAATTTACAGATATGTGCTGTCACACTAATCTTTCTGACATCAACAGTAATTATTATTCATACATTTTTAAATAAAATGTAGACAATAAATTAAACATAATACATTATACCATTGAGTAAATATAAGTGTGTTCAGTCTTTTAAGTACCACTAAATATCTAAGCCCAATGATATTAGATAGAAAAATGGTATGCTGTTATAGGTATGAGGTACAGAAGTACACATTTAGGTAAATTTTAAATGTTTAACTCCTTAGTCCTTTGGTTAATCTTGAGTTTTTTTTAATAACAACCATATTTTTTTCACCAGATGTAGATGAATCTTTTTTTTCTAACAAATTTTGATTCATTGACTAGTCATAGACCTAAAATTGACTTACAGCTTTTTTAAATTTGAAAATAATTCAATTCTTTGATTTTTCCCAAAATAGGGTACATTTGTATTGAGCAATTTTTAATATGATTTATTTTTTTAACTTATAAAATGTTCAACATTTCTTTTTTAAACCCACGTCAAGTCGACGAGTTACTTCTCTATGCATAACTATCAAATTTTGGAAACTTTTCGATAAAAATAAAAATAATAAGTTCAAAGTAATTTACATTTTATTTCAAAATAAAAATCTCTAAATCCTTATAAAAATTTACTCAATACATATGCCATCTTCAAAAATTCAAAAAAAAAATTGAATGGTTTGCAAAATTTCAAAAGGCTGTAAGCCTGTTACTCAGACAATTTTAGCTTTAGAATCACGGTCAATGGATCAAAATTACTTCAGAAAAAGATCTATCCATATCCAGTTGCATGATTGTAACCATTTGAATTGCAATACAAAAAAATCATAACTGGAATTGTACATGTGTGCAACCTAACCAAAGGAGATACAAATTTGAAATGTGTACTTCTGTGGCCCCCAGCTAACACAGCAAACCGTATTTAAATCTAAAGTCATCAGGCTGAGATATTGAGTGGTACATATATGACAGGATACATGGCTGAATGTACAATACTTACTCAATGATAATTCATATTTTAGTTCTAAAAACATATATAAAAAAATACTCACTTCAAAATCTACATATCCAAAACCTTTGCTCACGCCTGTTGCATTATCACGTACAATACGCACAGCTGATATTGTTCCACAATCTTTAAAATAGTCCCATATTTCATCTTCCTGAATACCTTTATAAAAGTAAACATTTTTAGAAATAAAAATATACACAATAAAGCAATACACATACAAAGCAATTATTATTTTTTCAGTACATTTTTATTTTTGTAAACGCTTCTCAGATTGTTTAAATTTATATATATATATAAATTGATAGACAGATACATTTTTATCTAAACACGGGTGACCAAACCGCAGTCCGCATATAAGAATAGTATAATTAAAGTGAGAATTTTTATGAAATTCCATATTTTTCCTTTTCACAATTTTGGGATTTTCGTCAGCAATTTTTAAGAATCATGATAATTTGAAGTTAATGGAATTTTTTTTTTTATATAATACTTTCCATAATTAATGGTTATTGGCTATTGCATATTTATGAATATTTTGACAAAATTTAACATATACTGCAAATTAAAGCGAAATAAAAAAAATTATATAAAAAATAAGTCCTCAATTAGAAAATGTAATGATACATTTTATTGGCACTACTAAGTGATTATTCATTTTAATAATATTAAATTATAAAATTAAAAATTATTTTTTGTTGATTAAGTAGATAGTAGATACCAATAATTACAATTAAAAGTTGTTCTAAATTATTTTAAGTCATAGAATTATCAAATAGTAAAACTAACTATTGATTAAAAATAGTTTGAATTTTTTTAATTATATTATTATTGCACAGTTCAAAGTTATTTTCTTGTATATTTTACGATTTTGACTGCATATCTATGACATATTTTGACACTTTTTAGTGCATAAAAATCCATGCTTTAATTATAAAAAATAATAATCGTTATTATTCCTTGAATATATAATAAATTTCCTTTTCTTGCTCTTCATATTATTTTTCATTATAATGTTCCGCACATTCTCAACTTTTATTTTTTATCCCTGATTTATAATTATTGATTCTATCGATTCTAAAAATACTGATGAAATCAAACAACCAACCCAGTTTAGAAATCAAAATAATAAACCTCAAAACCTGTAGGTACAGGTGTTAAGACCGTATATTTATTAATAGAAATATACTTCATACAAGTTAATAAATTTTAAATTTTAACAAATAACACTCACTATAGGGAAGATTTCCAATAAATATTCCTTTTTTAATATTCTGCTTATGATTTGAATTTAAAGCCATATCTACTCTTATTGTATGTCCTTCAAACTGTGTGGCATTTAAAACCAATGCTTTTTGTGCCTGTTCGATGGTTTTGAAACGTATATACACATTAGCAGTATCTCTTTGTGGATGAAAATCTCCTTTCATTATAGATACACGTTTAGGCACTTCAAGATTTTTGACAGCTACACTTCTTAATCTAGTAGTTTCTACTTCTCCAAATTGTTTGAATAATTTTTTTATTGCTGACATTTTAACACTAACTGGAACATTGCCAACAAACACAGTTCTTGATTCTTTTTCAGCATAATCCTCAGAAGATTTTATATCCCTATAAACAGATTCATCATAAATATACATTTTTATACCTACGTATTATATATATTTTTCAGTTATAACAAACTACTTACGTTGAGTTAGTCGTAGATGATTTTTTTTCAATTTTTTTAGTTTTATCATTAGGTTTTGTTGAATTATCTTTTGGTTTTTTGGTTTTCTTTTTTTTAATTTTTTTTTCAAAAGTTTCAGATGTATGACTCTCTTTTATAGGACCTGAATTTGAGTCATCGTTAATTTGATTTGTTTTATTGTTTACTGACACTAATGATTCTTGACCATTAGTTTTTTCAATTTTTCCATTAACTTTTTCGGGTTTTGTATCAAAAACTTCAATTTGTTGAGGATTCAAATTATTTTTAATTTTTTTTATTGACTGTTCATTAGAATTTTTCTTTGATTTTCTCTTCTTTGATTTTTCTACATTTCCATTTTTGGACAAATCACTTAAATTTGTTTCTGATTGGAGTGGACCTTCGATATTCTTTTTCTTCTTTTTATCTAAAGTACTATTAGTTTTTTCAATTTTTCCATTAACTATTTCTGGTTTTATATCAAAAGCTTCAATTTGTTGAGGATTCAAATTGTTTTTAATTTTTTTTATTGATTGTTCATTAGAATTTTTCTTTGATTTTCTCTTCTTTGATTTTTCTTCATTTTCATTTTTAGACAAATCACTTAAATTTGTTTCTGATTGGAGTGGACCTTCGATATTCTTTTTCTTCTTTTTATCTAAAGTATAAAACATTATTGTATATAAATTAAAGTTACTATGAAATCATTGGTAAATTTACGGATAAAGGGGCTATATTGGCATTAAGAGGACACCACACCCGAAAGTATTAGTTTAAACGTAAAACATAGATAGTACATTTTATTTTATTTTATTTTACAATAATCTATTTTATTATGTGATTTTAACCTAATTTTGACCCATTATAAAATTTAAAGGTATGATTATTATCTACGGCATCTGGAAGGATTTTATTGATATTACTATTTTTAAGTAAGTTATGATAATTTTAAAAAATACAAAAAATATATTATAGTTTAAAAATGGTCCTAACTTGCTTCTTAATAAAAAGTATCAATAAAAGCCACCAGGCTTATATAATAAGAATAATTCTACTTTTAAATTTTATAAATGTAAATTCACTCTAATTTTAGAAATTACAGAGTAAAAATATGTATTGTTGTGAAAATTGGCTATGTTGTACGTTTTTAATGTGGAGACAACACATGCGGATGTGGTCTTAGGTTTTCTGGTTTAAAACTTTTGCCCATTGATTTATTTGAGCTATTACTAATTAATCTTACTTATCTAACTTTATACTCTTATATATAACACAAAATACTATACGTTAATATAGATTAGTTATAGTGCCCAAACCTAACAAGATTTTAATATAATAAAAGAGTGACAAACCGTCTCTGCTCAGAATATTTTTTCTTTTACAATGATATTATATCATTGAATTCAAGTTTAATATACTCCATTATACATTGACCCATTTGTAACCTACTGTACAGCAGAGTGACATCCACTTACTCACTTTTTTTTAAATTATGTATTAAAAAACATGAAATATACAGTAGAAAAACCGATAAATGAATGAGAACAAATAGTCACCAGAGTAGTAATTTATATACCTAAGAGACTATCAATAATTGTTTACCTATTTTACCATAAAATGTTTTCTTTTACAATTTATGACGCAATAAAATATAAATATAATTATTTATAATTACATAATGATTTTTGTCAATATACTAAAGAATACGTCGAAAATACAAAATATTTAAGAAAATGCATTTACTTCAAAATATGCAAAAATATATTATATTAGTGATTACATTTTATTTTACTTAATGTTATGAAAACTGAACATTTTTAATCAGAATAAAGTAATCTGCATTTAGTAAAATTATATAAATAAATAAAAACCTTACTGATGATATTTATCTCAATAGCTAACAACTAATTATACAGAAAAACAAATAAAGATTTTTACAATGTATTAGAAGAAGAAATTAAAGGAGGTAATATAATTCAGATATGTTTAACGTGACCATACATCCCGCTTTTGAGCTTTGTGTCTCGCGGTTCCCAAAAAAAACCAAAAACATCCCGCTTTGAAAAAAGGTGATCTGTAGCATTTTATTCCTTTAAAAAAAGCATGTATTTATTCATCACAACCAAAAACATTATGTTGGTAGGTATAAGGTATACAAATACGTATACTGTACACCAGGGGTCTGCCCGATCTTGGACGATTTCTAAGTTAATCCCCCTTGTTAAATTGTTTTAGTTATTGTTATACATTTGTCATTTAGTATATACAGTTATTAAATACAGATTTCGGATTAACCTGTTAGGGTTAAATGGTATTTAATAAAAGCTGAATAGGAGCATTTAGAGCAACGTCTTAGTTTAGCAGTTTTCGACTATTACCGAGGTTATGATTAACAGCCCATGATATGCAACGATACGCTTCTACATCAACATTACAATGTAAATATATCCTAAAATTATTTAGAAATTTAATGTGAAATACACATTTTAGATAACTTTACACTTTTATTTTATTAATTATATAAGTATGTCTATTACCTATTAATAAAATATTTTTTTGCATTAGTCAATCCTAAAAGGAAAAATATACCCTCAGTAGATCTTAATCAAAAAAAGATTGGCCACTAAACACTGCTGTAGACTGATATTCATATTGTACATTTTATATAAGAATGTAATGTTTTTTTTTCGAATAAAAACGCACTGTTTTTTATCTTTCTAGCACTTTTTTACCTACGCAAAAAATTTTAAGGTTTTCCTATCAAAGCCAACAGGTCTTGCTTTGAGTAAAAAAAATCATGGTCACGTTAGGTATGGGTTTGACCATAATATTATCAACAATTAATACTATTATTACTTTAAATAATATACAAATAGGTACCTTTTTTTGTTTTCTTTTTATTTCCAGAAGATGCAATCAATTCGCACAATGCTCCAACTTTGTACTCACTATCCATGATATATCTGTAAAATTAAAGGCTATATTTGATTTGGTACTATAGGTACAGTGAAAAAATTGTTTCATTAGTGGACAATTATGTATACAACCACTAGACAATTTATAGTTAATGAACATTGAAAAAAAAAATTTAAATCCTGAAGAGTACTTACGGTTAATAGACAATGGTGGATAAAATAAAATAATTTCAAATGATAGACTTATTGTTATTTGATTGAATTATTGTTGAAAATAATATACTTTTCAAACGTAGTAAGTATAGACAATCTGAAACTACAGCCTAGCATAAGCATAGCCTACAAAGTACAAAATGACAGAATAAAGATATCGTTTAAATATTTTATTATCAATTTGTATTTTCACGTGTTTGTAGCATTATTTGAAATGAAAATTGTTATCACAATATTATTGTTGTTACTTGTTAACGTTATCACCACGAACCACGATTATAATCTTCGATAATAATATTATACCACAGACTTCTATTATACTACTATACTTACTTCTTTATCTATGCTACTATGTAGGAATCTGTGTAAAATACAGAAGTACCTAGTTTAGTATAGAAATCTGTACATTGTACTCACGATGTAGAGAAGATCTTAATATGACGTAGTATCTTCTCTACATCGTGATTATACTATATAATTATGATCTAAAGCAGTGATGGCCCAAGGAATAAGAAAGTCTTCTGTATAATATCGTTAGCTACCAGCTAGTGGGCTATAGCGGCATACGAGTCGTATTATATCACAGATTTATATATAGACATATAGTACAAAAGCAGTTTAGTGTTGTATATTATAGGTATATTGGCATATTACTGTGATATTGCACTATATTATGATATAATATTAAATTATAAAGCTTACAATATTCCTTCATCGATTTCACAGATATTTCAGATTATTTTTGATCCAAAGTCGATTTTCTTGGCTACGAGGCATACTTTTCAAGTTTTAATCATTATAACTTGTCTTTACTTATTAATCAAAGACTGAATTTGTACTTTAATTTTAGACGTATAGTTAAGCTATTATAGTTGTACTACTTATAGATGAAAATCATAATTATGTAGGTAGGTACCTACCTAATTGAAAATCCCCAAAATGAATAAATGCCATTCATGCAGTAAAATAATTATATTATTCAAGAATTCTTATGCATTTTATTGCCTTAGGTATCAAATAAGTAGGTTGGTCGTTGTTACCTATAATAAATACAATATAATATTATTTAATATATAAAACGTATTTTAAAGTACCTATAGGTACCTATTTAATTTCACCTCCATAAGCAGTGGCGGATTTAAGGGTTCAAAGAAAGTCGGCCAATCAATAATAAGAGGGGCCTCTTACAAAATATATCAGTAAAATACTTATCCCCATTTCACAAAACCGATCTCTTCGTTCGCAAGAAATAATATCAACCAATAATCAATAATATAGTAACAAATCTTCTAGTTAAAAAAAAAAAAAAATGTTAAGTTTTTATTTATTTTTACAAATAAAACAAAATTAAAAGTAGGTATATAAAATGCCTGTGTATAGAATGTAGATTATAATTAAAATGTAGCTTGACGAAAAACCATGCAAATACCTATATAAAAAAAAGTGAAGCCATAAAATTATTCATAATATTATAAAGGTTTAATACTTTAATTTGAGTTAGGTAGGTATACACTTTTAAATTTCGTACTACACACTTCACTTTTTGTACTACACACAAATTTTAGGAGCTGCTATGTACACAAAAGTCGATGATAAAATTACCATTTTATATTATAATTCACAAAAACAATATAGTGATGGTAGACGGACCGGTCGGCTAGGTTTGAGAGTGAATTGGTGGTGTGGAGGCAATTGCTCGTTTATTACAATTTATAATTGTATACTTAATTTAATAATAATAATAGGTACTTATTTTAAATTTCAATCAATACTTTATAGTTATTATAGCAATTGTATAGCAGTTGTAAGAAACAATGTCCTAACCCGTTAAATGTATAAACATAATAATATGAAAAACATAGTGCAAACGAATTAAAAGCAATTACCTACTCATTGCCTCTATTTATAATTGTATACTTAATTTAATAATAATAATACTTATTTTAAATTTCAATCAATACTTTATAGTTATAGCAATTGTATAGCAGTTGTAAGAAACAATGTCCTAACCCGTTAAATGTATAAACATAATAATATGAAAAACATAGTGCACACCCCTGTTTACCACATTTTTCAATATTTATTACGAATTTATCGCGAAAACGATTTCCTATAAATCATGATTTACGCTGTTGATTAAGTAATAAAAAGATTGTTATTATACTTACAAAATTATTGTTTTTATTTTCATGCAATCATGAATTATATTATATATTAATTTATAATTATAAATAATCTTATTTGTGATCAATGGTACTTGGTAGTGGGTAGAATGTAGAATACGTAATTTAGATTTACGTAGGTATATAAGTATTTACTTCGATCTTTTCTACTTTATTTAATTACAATATTTTATACTTTTGAAGTATTCCTATACATTTAAGCTATTTTATTATTAAAACAATGGTAAATTATATTCCAGTTTGAAATATACATTTTTTTTTGGTTAAAATTAAAAAAAAATCAACTTTATAATTTAGGTGGGCCTCAGTGCACAATTTAGGAGGGGGCCCCGTTGGCATTTGCTGACTAAATGATCGTTAAATCCGCCACTGTCCATAAGATAAAGTAAGTACCTAGGTACCTACTTAATATTATACCTAGGTACTGGCATAAGTAATATTCAGTATAATAGTAGGTACCTATCTGATAGATTTTATATTAAAAGTTTTCCGACAATGGTCATCAAAAAACTTGGTATTACATTATTTTTTTTTGTCTTTTTAACAATAATAGATAATATAAAATATTTACGAAAATTACAATATTATACAATAGAAAGTAATAGTATATAGCCAATAGGTATACCTATTGTTACTAATGTACTTATCTACATTCAAAGAATAAAATACAAATAAACTTAGATAGGTACTGTGTGCACCCTATAGTACCTAGGTATATTATATTTAGCAATTCGTAATGTCTGCGAAAGTGCGAAACGGTGAAATTTGATGCAAATATTGACCTATATGGCTATATATAACAACTTAATTTATTTATCAGTATCTATTTCTATTTTATAACTATTATATAATATTATAATGAGTAAATAAGACGTGCACGTCACCTAGCTATTATTGTTATAATATGTTACCGAAAGAATATGTCGTCACATGTCGCGGTAGGCAGGTAGGTAGGTACCTAATTAATTTAAACATGATAAAGAGACAGGTAGGTACCTACTCGCCACTCGCATACACAATACCATAATAGTAATTGTAATAAAATGAAACCTCGACTACGTAAACCCGAATAAACTAATAACTGGTTCCCAAGTTTCAACTTTAGGTCGACGAAATTCATCGTAGGTAGTTTTATATGGGTATAACTGGCAGTATTGTAAAAAATACTTTTAAAAATTATTTAAAATACCATCCAAATACTATAAATACTAGGTGTTAAGTATTTGCAGGATTGGGTAGTAACGTAACGCAAATTACAAATTACTGTAACGCAATTACTTCTTCAGTAACGCAGCAGTAATTCCATTGGTTTGACTTAAAGTAATGCAATTGTAACAAAATTACTTTTGAAAAGTAATTTCTATGAAGTAAAGCACTAACTCATTATTTTCCAAGTTATTTAAATAATAGTTTTGAATGTATTACAGGTATAGGTTAGGTTAGAAAAATTAAAAATCAATTAAATTTATTTTTGATTCCAATAGTTATAGCACAGAATAGTTAACAATATAACTAAACATTCCAGGAATAAACGTTATCACTTTATTAGCAGAAAGAAAAGAATTCGGTTTAAAAATAAAATTTAATAAAAATTAATTATGATTTATGACATGACTATATAGTATATAGCCATATCGGTAACATAATCCTAAAATAGGGATATTATCACTAGGTCTATGATTGTAAAATATATACATAATAATTGAATCATATGAAGTGAATATGGTTAAAAAAAAAATTATAAAAAAAAGTAACGTTATTTGTAAAGCACTACTTTACTAATGAAAACAGAAAAAGTAATGTAACGTGATAAAATAAATTTTAGGTAACGCAAATATAATTTAAATAAAAATATTTGAAGTAACGAGTAACGTAATTTCATTACTTTTTAAAAGTAGTTTACCCAACACTGAGTATTTGAGTAATAGGTACTCAAATAATTTTTAAAAGTATTTCAAATAATCTTCAAATACAAAAAAAAATGTGAGTAAGTGGATGTATATGCTCTGCTGTACAGTAGGTTGCAAGTGGGTCACTGTAATAGTGTAATGGATGGTGTTAAATTTGAATTCAATGATATAAAATCATTGTATAAGAAAAACAATTCTGAGCGAAAACGGTCAGTCAGCCCATGATATTACGAAGTATATTTGATGATATTATTGTGAATAAAGTAATTTATATATTTACCTATTTATGTGGAACCTTGTTTTAAATTTTCAATCCTTAGCTATAAAATTTGAACATTTTATACATTTTGAACTACAAAATAATTATTAAATTTTAAATTTTAAATTTGATACATTTTGTCAAAAATTCGAACTTTAAATGCTTATAAATAAAAACTGTGACTAAGGATTTTTAATATTCTTAAAATGTCATTGTAACAATGTAGTAGGAGACTTGTATTACATTTTCAAGCTTTTTTACCCAACAAATAAAGTTTTATTGACATTCATAGAAAAAAAGACTAATAAAATTGTAAACAGAAAATGTTCCTAAACAGTTTAAAACAAATCAAAATATTTTGAAAATTTTATCGTGTATAAAAATGAAAATATAAACGACCAGTGAAAATTTCATGTATATACGTTCATTTGTTTTAGAGATTCCTTCTTTAATTAACATGAAATTAACGAATTAAT